AGCATCTCATCCTTGAGAAATAAAGCTACTAAGGTGTGCTGCAACATAGAATGTTTCTGCTGAGGTGTGAGGCCAGACCAGGTTGTTGCTGTTATAGCAGGAGAAAGGTGTAATCCATGGGACTTGGCTGCTTGTGTGTTGTTTGACTTAACACTTTGTTTTCTTTATTAATAAGATGCTACTCTGCAGTAGCCTTGGATGATCCATCATCCTTGAGAAATAAAGCTACTAAGGTGTGCTGCAACATAGAATGTTTCTGCTGAGGTGTGAGGCCAGACCAGGTTGTTGCTGTTATAGCAGGAGAAAGGTGTAATCCATGGGACTTGGCTGCTTGTGTGTTGTTTGACTTAACACTTTGTTTTCTTTATTAATAAGATGCTACTCTGCAGTAGCCTTGGATGATCCAGGTGAGTGACTGGAAAGGCAAATCATGATTGGGAAGATCAGAAGAGCTAGAATAGCTCTTGTGCTGAACCAAGGGGTGCAAAGCAGTTTTTACAAGGGCAGTGAGTTCAGCTTCCTGTGCTGCAGTACATTCCCATCCTGAGAATGGCATACTGTGATGAAAATAACTTGCATAGCCTTATTTGAATGGTGTTCTTCAAGGCTCTGCTCTTTGAAGAAGATGCAGTGAGGGTCTCTGTGTGTAAAGTAAATTTTCCTTTAAAGGAAACTACAAGAATATGCTCTTCAAATGCATAGTTGTGCCAGAATTTGTGTTTGAAGTTGGTCCTTGTCATTATGCGTCATGGAAACCTATGCTTTGTTCTGATGATATATATAAGGAGCCTCGGTTCCTGCAGCAACAGTGCCTCTTCTGGGAAGAGAGAACTCCAGTTCAGGATGGGAACTGGACTGAGTCTTTCAACAGGCAAGAACAGGGTGTTTCAGCCTCTAATAAAGCCTAGGTATAGCAAATGTCCTAAATGGGATGGGTATGAGTAGTCTTACTAAAGCCTCGGGTCATAGGCCTGCCAAATGGGTATTGAGTAATAATACTTCATAGAGAGCTCAGTGGGTGCATTTTCTTGCCTTTTTTTTTTTTTTGTGTGTGTGTGTGTGTGTGAAGGCATGAGACCAGTATTACTGTGTAATATATCCAGTAGTGCAGGATTCGCTCTTTCATTACACTGCGGTCTGCTGCTTGTGTGAACAGAATGGATTGCTTTGATCCAGTGTTCTGCAAATATGCCTGTAAGAGGGAAGTGGTAGATGGCCAACTGACTTGAGTCTTTGAAAGACACTTGATGTACATGACAGAAGAAACAACATAGATTTCTTCAGAAAGTAAGGGCTTCTGAAAGAAATTCTTCTCCCCTCAGGTAATGACTGCAGTCTGTCATTTGACTATTTAATAGCTGGGATCTGCGCCTTGCTGTCAAACAAGTAGAGCAAGATGTTTTTGTCTGCAGGCCTGTTGTATAGCTTGCTTATAGTGGGCTGGCCCACAGGAAGAGAAGTATTTCCTTGAGCACAGCAATTGGAACACATAGCTGCAATAGCTAGGCTTAATGAGAGAGGACTAACTATCATGAAAGGAAGGGCAAGGGGTCACAGTGAGTGGATAAGGGAACTGTGTGTGATCAGATTGCAGTGAACTAGTGACACTCAGCTCCATTCATGGGTTCTGAAGTGGCTGTTGTGCACTTGGGGAAGTGCATGCTGTACACTTAGGGTGCTTAACCACCCACGCATCTCTTCCACACCTCATGTAGCAGCCAACCTAACTTCAGCTCCAATTAGCTATCAGCTTTTCATTCTTTCTTTGACCTGAATGAAGCTAGAGTTTGATTCCCATCTGGAATTATTACAGTAAGAGTACTGGTAATTATTTTAACCTGTCAGTTCTTAACTGTTCATTCATCAAAACTAGCTGGATCTACTAAGCTAACAAATTGTTAGGGTTCTATTGTTTTACCAATGCCAGTGAACTGTGGCATAGCTACTCCTCTGTGCTATGCTATGACATGCAACTTTCAGCACCCAAGGAACTGTCTAGAGAACATGCTGGTGAATCCCTGCTGGACTAACTCTGTAGTGCTGGTCCCTGGCCCTTGGTGAGGGGTGGGAGGGACTGACTGGTGGGCTGACCTTGGGTGGCTGCCAGATGCCTACCAAGCCCCTCTTATCACCACACACACTGCACTACCATCTTTCCCTCCATGTCCCTGTAGGAGAGGGAGAGAAAAAGAAAACCACTTGACTTGAGATAATTGCAGGCTGATTCCCCCTGTCCTTTAAGTCACAGGCAAAACAGACTTGACTAAGGGAAATTAATTTATTGCAATTAATCAGAGTAGAATAATAAAAAATAAGAACAGATCTACAATTACCTTCCTCTATCTCCACCTTCTGCACAGACCTGATTTCACTCCTGGCTCTTCCTCCTCCCTACCTGAGTAGTATAGGGGAATGTCATCTCTGCTCCTCCTTCCTCCTCATGCTCTTGCTCTGATCCAGTGTGGGATCCATTGGAATATAGTTCTTTGGGAATGGACTGTTCTGGTGTGAGTTCCCCCATAGGCTACAGGTCCTGCCAGGAAACCTGCTCCAGCATGGAGTCCTTCCCACAGGCCAGAAGTCCTGCCGGGAGTCTGGTTCCTCTGTGGGCTCTCCACGGGTTGCAGCTTCCTTTGGGCCTATACCCTGTTATGGACATGAAGTCCTCCATAGGCTCAGGGAATCTCTGCTCTGGCACCCGCAGCACCCCTTCCTCCTCCTTCCTTGACCTTGTGAAGGTGTCTTACAGGGTGCTTTTTCTCATGTACTCTTGTTCCTCTCTCCCTTCTGTAGTGTAGGGTTTTCTTAAAAAAACAAACCAAAAACAAAAACCCCTCAAGCAAACAAATCAAACAAACAAACCCAAAACAAAAAAAACCCCTTCTCAAATATCACAGAAAGCTCAGCTTTGGCCAGTGGCAGGGCCCTTTTGGAGCTGGCTGTCACAGATTCTCTTACGTGGCTGCAACTTCTTGTGCTGTCTCCCAGATGCCACTCCCGCAGGCCCCCCAGTACCAAAAGCTCCCAAAGTAAACCCAACACATTTTTATTCAGCTAGAGAACAGATCTCACAGAAGAATGGATGCTGTGGCTGGGCCATGTTGTTTCCCGGCCCCTCCTGTGGGCATCCACCCTGGAGGACCATGGGAGAATCTCAGCAGGCAGAAATGCACTCCAGGAATATCTCCTTGGTTTCAGCAACCTGCAGCCCCTTGCGGCAATTCCCAGGGCTTCCTGAGGCCACCTTTAGTGTGGCAGGACATGGTGAACTCCTGTCCCCACTGTGTCCTGAGCTCAGACAGGTTATTGCCACCAGCTCCAGCTTGAACTTGGTTAGGAACAGGACACACAAGTTGCTTGGAACACCTCTAGTCTAGAGGCTGTTTCATTTTGCACAGGCAAGCATAAGGTGTTAAGCAGTGAAACCACTACTCTAGAAATAATAAGTGAAGACCTATCTAGCCAACAGATGATGAAGCCTGCAGCTGTTTACATGTGATATTATCAAATAAGCTCTTCCTCTTGCTCTCATACTTTACATCCTCAATGAACTGGGATAATAAACAGCCTCAGAAATCCCACTGTCAACCCTGCTTGCAAAGTGTAACTTACGTAGTGGCACAAACGTGGTCATGTGGACTAGAGAAAATCAGCACAAAAAGACCAGAGATGACTATCAGCACAGCTCAGCCACAGGGTGATTGAGGAATGGGCACTGCACGCTGGGCAAAGCTGACACCCTTTTCACCTTTGCAGATGCATGCAATGCAGAACTGCTCCAGGCAATCCCTTGCATACCTGCTGACAGTCAGGGGGACCACCAAGAGCTCACCCTTTCCCAGAAAGCCTCTAAGCTGAGCTGCAGAGTGATAATGTTAGAGGAGAGGTGATTGGCAGACAATGTTTGCCACTCACAGACCCTATGCAGCCGTGGGAGGACAGGCTCCCCCCTCCCCCTGCTCTGCCTCTAAAAGCACACGTAGCCATGAGTTGGCAGAAAAAGCCTATCCCAACAACACATTGTTGTGCCTTTGCTCTACACTGGACTTTGGCACCTTGTTCAACCACTACACTGCTTGTACTCACAGGGTTATCTTCCTTCACTAGTGAGGGGAAATAGTCCTTCATCCTAACCTTGTGTCACTGACACTCTCACTCCCATGACTGTCAAGGAGAAAAGCAAACCCTTAAATGCCCCCTTTTTATTTTCAACAAGATGTGGAAAAAAAAATCAGTTATCACTCCATAAGCTTTAAAACTTTCAGAGCAAGCAAGCTCACAGTGAGAAAATCCTACAAGATCTCCAGACAGTGCCAGACAATGAGGGCTATTATTGTCATTATCCACGTGGTGGCAGTGTTCCCGGCATGTAACAGTAAACCTGATTTTCAGGAGGAAGTAGCTATGTTCCTCAGAGAAGTTCAGAGCCTTGGGGGGGGGGGCAGTGTTGGTTCTTCACAGAAAAGAAATACATTTTCAAGGTAAAACAACCTTGCAAAATCAGTGGCAATTCCTGAAGCATGAAAACGATACACAGTGAGGGGAATGTACAGATCAGTGTTTTAGGAGAAAGCAGGCTGAGCAAGGATTGTTCTGACTGACAACTCTTTCTGCAACTCTGCCCGAGGGACAAGAACTCCCTGTGGCTATTTTAAGTTAATTTCCAAATCACAACTTTACTTGAAACAAGAGATCATTAATTCACTGGACTTGAAACAATTCAGTATTTTAGGACTTGCAAGTTGCCTGAAAATTCCTTAGTGAAAAGCCATCAAACAAGAGCAGACTCAGTACATCTGAAGCCTACTGACAAGTTCCCTTTTCTCCTTTACCACTTTCCATGCCATGCAGTAGTATTAATCCACAGATGTTTCTTAGAGGTCAGTATAAAACCACAGCACTGGAGCTAATCCTAACTGGCAATTCATTCTCCTCAGAAAACCCCACAAAGCAACCAGAACCTCTCCTAATTGTGCCAAGATGCATTATATCCCCAGTGGGCAGTCGACCTGTACTTCAGGACATGTGTTTTGTTCAATTCACTCAGTGAGTATTGGTCAATCTACATCTTAAGTAAGTGAGTTCTTCTTGTTGATAGACAATCTAATGCATTTTATCTCATCCAGGCACTGCAAAGACATTAAGGCTGTTTAGGATCACTCTTCACAGATCAATAATGAAACCTTAAAACTGACCACAAAGTCCTTCAGTGGTTAGAGATGGATCATCATTACCTTCAGTACCTCTCTGAATCCCACAGTAACAGGTCTTTGTTTCAGCTATTTCAATACATCTAAGATGTTTATTGTTGCTAATCTGTGTTCTCATTTGCTTGGCAACGTGTGGGTGCTGGGCACCAATTTAACACAGCTAGGGCCATCATATTGATCTCCTCTTCCAGGAGAACCAGGGTGAACACCATGGCAAGCTTTGGGCACCAATGGCCAAATTACTCAAGGAAATAAGTGCCCTATTTTTATCACTCATACTGTGAGATCTGCTGGGATAAATATATGCTTGTAATATTTTAGGTCCTCTGTGTTACCCACAAGGAAGTGAAAGGGAGAGTATTCCACAAACAGAACTATAACACAAGCAAAGTATACATTAACAGATTTATTTTTCTGTTCCATAATCTCAGAGTAAGTGAGATCTCTACATTGTGGACAAAAGTGAAAAATAAAAAGCCAGCTAGAGAGGAAGCTGGGGATCCCCAGGTATGGTTAGCCTGTTCTCTGCTCCGTAATTGCTAAAAAAAATCCCCCTTGCCAACTTCTGGGCCAAAGCAATGTGCATACTTTAGATTTGCCATCAGCTGCAAAGCTTTTGGAACTGGTTGTCCTATCTACCAGCCAGCTTATAGAAAGGTTCAGGTTACTATTAAGTCTGTTTCAGTTCCAATGTTCAGCAGTTTTAAGGCACTTCTTTCTGTGTAGCTTTGGGAAGCAACTCTCAAGTTCTTCAAGAGCAAAGCAACTGACATAGACTTATTAGTCCAATTATTAGCAGAAGTTACCATCACCACTGTCCACCAAAAAGACTGAAACATACTGGTTGTACATTTTGACAAGTGAATTATAGAGCATTTAACAGAATCACATTCTCCTGTGCCAGCCTCCCAGGAATATCTGACACTCAAACTCTCACAATGGCTTTTCCAAGATTTTCTCCCTTTAACATTCCAATGAAAGCCATTGGCATGTTCTCAAATCCTTTAGTGACGTGTTCATGGTACTTCAGTTTTCCCTGTCAAAAGTAAGAAAGGAAATTGCTGAGTTTTCATTCACCAAAACTGACAAAATTGCAACCAAATGTTGTGCAGCATGGATGTTTCCCTTGGCATATGGAAGCTGGCATGCACATGAGTAACTGCAAAACTAGGGAGGCTGTTGTGAGGATCTGCTTTTGTAGGTAAACCCTTCTACTTGGCATGGTAACGGGGGCAAAAGTCACTGCTATAAAAACACGCCAGGACAGATTTAGTGCTTCTTGGTCCTCAAGCAATTGACAGGTAGGGCTTAATTTCACCAAAGTCAAGCCTGTTTCTACCCATATGGAAGTATGGAATTGCAAATCAAAGTGATCAAAATCTGAGCCAGCCCAAATCCTCATGTTTGTAAAAGCTAGAGCTTCTTCACCTTTAGTGTTCACACTCACAAACTTCTCACAGCCATGAAGCAACTTGGTTACTAACTCAGCCTCCATTTAGAAAAATAAAATATAGGACATTGCCTGTTAATTAACCTTGAAGCTCAGCTCTCAATTCTATAAAACCATTCATTCTTGCCAGTAATTTCAGCACAACACTACAATGGAAATTCTTGCTCATCCTACAAATGAAAGGAGACTTCTGAATGAGAAACTGAGGAATTACTCTAAATATGAAAATTTTCATTACCAGGTAACTGTTTTGAATTGCTCTGGAAGCATCATTTTTCAGAGCCTACATCTATTCTGGAATATATCTAAGTCCACAAGCAGAAGGGATTGCACATGTTTACTATAGTGTGAGCATACCCAAAAGGCCCAAAGAGAAAAAATGTGTCCTATTGGGACATCAGCTCAACAGCTGCGACAAAGAAACTTCTCACAAAGAGGGAAGCTATAGTGCAAGTACACCTTGCAGAAAACTATCCCCTTCCTTCCTTACCTCCACAACCCACTTTAGCAGTGTCTTCACACCTTCTTCCCGGCGGTTGTTCCAGCGGCTCACAATAAACCCTTCCATTTGAAGCTCTTTGAAGATCATTGGAACCTGCACATAAGCCCCTGCAAAAGAAAGGAATCAACAAGCCACCTGCAGTATCAGTTTCGTTTAAAATAAGCTCCAAAGTATAGAGGCATATAGTGACCTTTTAGCTGCAAAGTATAAAGTGAGCTTTTAGCCAGTAAAGACCATTGAATAACTTTGTTTCAGCCAGAAGCAACTGATTTTTTTTGCAAACAGTATTTCCAGGACAAAAGACTAAGGATTCATGGATAAACAGCCATCAGAGAAACAAAGGCCTGATCTATACTGTTGTTGGGCTAAACACACACTTCTGAAAACAGTTTCATTCAGAAGTGGCCTCAGCCTCATCTGAGGGGCTTCAGCTGGATCCCAAATACACTGTTTTGACAGCTTGTCTGGGAGCCTGACAGGCTCTCATGCTCTTCCCGACTCTCAAAATTTAAGTTATAAACCCTAAAAAACCAGTTCCCTCAATCATAAAAATGTATGATAGTCTCCTCACTCTCAAAAGCCTGTTCCATTTTTTTTAAGTGATCTGAGAGTCCAAAGCCAGTCAGATGTCAAAGAGAATTCAGACCTCCTACTTCTTCTAGAAGGCAAATTTGGAAAACTTAATGCTATTGAAAGTGAATATTCATCTCAAACACATTTCTCTAGTAGCTGAAATCTCAGAGGGGAAAAAGACCAAAAAAGAAACCCTAAGCTGCATCACCTGAAAACCTGAGGGAAATCCATCATCTCATCTAAAAGTATGTACTGTGTAAATGGCATCATGCCACCATGCCTGCCTTCCATATATGATCTATATATGTGTAGTGCACTGTGGTGTCCTGTTTCAAGGATTTTCATCACTTCTTTCTTTCTAATCAGCTGATGTTCTCCATCCAATATGAGCATGCACAAAGGAGGATGCGTGCACGAGGAGTGTGGTCATGCTCCCACCATCCCAGAGCAGCAGTTAGTTCCCAACATGTACACACAAACATACACTTAAATGGCAACATCTCAAAAGATTTCCATTGTGTCCTTCTGCCATTGCCAAAGAGGGAATAAATTTAGTCACAGTGAAGCAGGCCCACACCTTTCTGAGGCACAGAGTCATTGTACAGAGAGATGGCTCCACAGATCGCAATCCTTCCATATTTCTTCATCTGGTTGATAGCAATACTGGCAAATTCTCCACCCACCTACAAAAAACAGAGCATGTGCAGCATTAGAGACAATCCAGTGTTTGATATTGACTGACAAAACCTCTCAACCTTGCCTTATTGCACCAGCGGGTTCAAACTGGGGGTGAAGAGGTGAGTTCCACCACTCCAAAGATTTGGTGGTGCATAAACCCTTACACTTAAGACAACACTTTGAGGACTCAACCTCAGTCTTCTAAAAATTAGTCATGAACATTGGGAATCAGTTTTAATTCCAAGGCTGTTTCACAAAGCCTGGTTTGGAAGTGTTGGGCAGGACCTGTGCACAGATCCCTCCTCCTAAGGGCATGTCTAGGGGCACTAAGAAGCACCACCTCTGCTTTTCCCCCACACTGGTCTGCTCATCTACATCTTCATATCGTGGTGATATTAAGTTTTTACTTAATGATTCTCTTCTCCAGAATAGGGACATGCTGTGCTCAGGGCTTTTAATGCTGAGAAGCTAGGAGTTTACGGTTGGGAGTAGCCCTGCACAAAAGCTGGACATGAGAGGGAAGGGAATAGATGTGGCCATAAAACTTATTTAAGACCTTAGCAGCATGGGACATGAAATTCGGAATGCTAAGGCAAAGTAATCAGGAGCTCCTGACACAGAGACAAGCACTCTGCCGTAGCACCATCCATTCGTATCAATTGCCAGGTACATTGTAATCCACACAGAACATCACCACCATCCCTGTATCAGCAGAGAGACTGCTGAAAGATGGTGCTAGAGGGGTGATGATGGCTGTCTTTTAAACCAGGCAGTTAAACCTGGGAGTTTTAGGTAAGTATCTCAGCTAATACCCCTGTGTCCAGGTATCATATTATCAGTTATAACGCATATGTTAGTTGTACTAGGAAATTAAAAGATCCAGGGCTGGTTCTCTGGCTTGAAGGTGAACTGTCATGATTTAACTGCATCCGTACCGTCCGTTCACCTCTCTCAGCCACCGAAACAAGACAGTCACATTCAAACAGCCTATCGAGAACAGTCCGTGGCCCCCATTAATTCCAGCTGCACTTGAAAGATGTTGAAAACCCTTATGGGCCACTCCAGTAACTTTACAAGTTTTGTTTACAGGCACCAGTGCAGCCCCTCGTGACCAGGTAATGTGGAGCCATCCACACTCACTCCAAGGAGGGGCCAGGAATGGACTGGAGCTGCCTCTGTCTAGCATCAGTTAAATGTTCACTGTGATCCTCACGTCCCCAAAACATGCCATACTTTTCAGTGAAATAAAGCTTCTCTCTGCCTTCACAGACACTGCCAACAATCCAGCTTTGCCTTTTTGTCTTTGTGCTTTCTGTTACTGACCAAGTCAGCTGCAGAAATAAGTGTGGGAAGGGAACAGGAAAGCAGTAAGCTCTTAGAGAGATCATTGCTCGATAAAGTGGATGTCAGTATCAACTTCCTTATGTAGTCTTCAATTAGATGTATACAATATTGAGTTCCTGCTATAGTTTAAAGAAAATGACAGCTGTTCAAGGCAAGGCCTTCTATCTGAACTCACATTGTCAAAGAAACAGTCATAGCCATCAGGAGAGGCTTTACGCAGTGCTTCATCCAGAGATGTAACTGTCTTGTAATTAAAGGCTTCATCAAAGCCCAGTTTTTTCAGATAGGCAACCTTGTCATCTGAGCCAGCACAGCCAACCACTTTGCAACCCTGCAAGGAAAGGAGAAAAGCATTTGTAAACATCCACTGACACTCAAAGAATGCTGGGAGGAGGGCACACCCTTAAAGTCAGCCTGTTGTCACCGTAAGAGCTCCTCAGCTCTAGGAAACATTCAACTAGCTTTGCTACATCTTCAGGACCTTGTTCCATCTCGAGAGCCTAGTGCACTAGGGTCACTCAGGCATGCCTTGAGTGATGCCTGACCTACTGATCATTCGTGGCCTCATTGCCCTGTCTCCCAGCTGAGCCTTCTGAGGAGCAAGTATAAGCAGTTAAGCCACTCACCCCAATTTTAGCAAGCTGCCCCACCACAGAGCCCACAGCACCAGCTGCAGCATTAACCAGCACTGTCTCTCCTGGCTTCATCTTGCAGACCTCCAGCAGACCAAAATATGCAGTGAGGCTGCAAAGAAAAGCAGAGAATGCTCTCTGAGGAACAAAAGATGACACACACACAGATGTGACTTGACCACACTGAACCAAAACATCACCACAACCAGAACAGGATTCAGTTTTCCTTATTCTTTACAAAATATAAACATTAAACCAACCTTCTGAATTTGACTTTTTCACAGCCATCCCAGAAAAAAACACAAATGCACTACGGGGACACAGAATGCTGTGGCAGAAATCTACCTAAGGTGAAAACAGCTTTCCTGGTGTTCATTAGATGAAGGACAAACACAGATATAACTCTGTAAGGTGACAACTCAGTTACACACTGGAAGAGACAGTAAATCCAACCTAGACAGTGGTCAGTAGTCAGCTGGTATCTACCTGATTGAGGCAAAGATTAAAAGATACTCATCACAAATCCAAAAAAAGTGTAGCAAAGCCTTGCTGAACTGATGGGCTCACTGCTGCTGAGGACTACTGTGCACAGGTATGGCTACTGGGTGAAACACAGAATCATTAGGTTGGAAAAGACCTCCAAGAACCACTAAGTCCAACCTTTGACCAAACACCACCTAGTCAGCTAAACCTTAGCACTAAGTGCCATGTCCAGTTGTTTCCTGAACACCTCCAGGGATGGTGACCACACCGCTTCTCCAGGCAGCCTGTTTCAATGTTTGACAACCCTTTCTATGAAGAAATTCTTCCTGATGTCCAACCTGACCTTCCCCTGACACAGCTTCCAGTCATTTCCTCTTGTCCTGTTGCTAGCTTCCTGGGAGAAGAGGCTAAGCCCCAACTTGTTACAACCTCCTTTCAGGTAGTCATAGAGAGCAACAAGGTCCCCTCAGAGCCTCCTTTTCTCCACACTAACCATCCCTAGCTCCCTCAGCCACTACAGAACTTACTCTCCAGATCCTTCACCAGTTTAGTTGGTCTCTGGACTCACTCCAGCACCTCAAGGTCTTTCTTGTAGTGAGGAGCCCAAAACTGGACACAGTACTTGAGGTGCAGCCTCACCAGTACCACAGAAATCGTAAGAACCACTAGAGTTCAGCTCATCAACTGGCCCAGAATCCCAAGAAACTTTTCTTGTAACTTCTAATTCAAGCTTAGAGCTTCTCACTTGGTCTGAACTGAAAGGCCATGTAGAAGCAAGCCATCAGAAAAAACATGCATCTTAACTACTGTTGAAGTGAAATCTGAGTTCTCCATTACACACAATTTTGCAATAATTTTGAAGGCCTTCCATAGCAACAGCACTGATTAAGTCCTGATCTCACATAAAAACTACAGAGGATGAGATGAGAAATGCAAGAAGGTGACTGAGACACTTCAGTAGTGAATATGGATTGCAAAGCACAGCAGTTCTGTCTGCTGCAGTGCAATTTAAAGGACCTCTATTTTGCTGCACAACAGGACACCTGCCTTTTTCCATTTTGGAAGTAATTCTGGAAATATGGTGATAGCTGAAGAACCCAGTCAGGAAAAGCAGACTAGTCCAGGTGCCAGTGAAGTCTGAGACATTCCACTGAGTTTAACACAGGCTGAACTGGATTCTGTCCAGCACTTTCTGGATCCTCTTTCTGAGCTATTACAGCTCCTCAAGAAGAGGCACCATAATCTCCAAGGCAAATCTCTGATCTAGAGGATGGCCCAAACTTCAGGCCCTCTACAAGGTAAAGGCATCCAGAAGCACTGGTGTTTTTTACCAGAGTGAACAAGCAACATGCTGGTATAACAAGATAAGGGTCACACAGATAGGCAGAAACATCCATCCTGAACACCAAAATCCAGGGGACAGTTGCCTTTTCATTTCAAAACTCACCCTGGCATGCCAACTGTCCCAAGAGCTAGAGATCTGGGAAGTGATTCTGGCCAACTGGAGGGAAGGAGTTGTAGGTCTTTCCCATCAGAGATGAAATGAGTTCTCCAGCCTCTGTTAGCCACCACAAAGGACCCCACTGTGAAAGCAGGATTCTTGCTTTCTACAATCCTGTTTAAAAGAGAAAAAAAAAGAATACCCTGTCAGAGACAAACCTATATTGGCCCTTCCATCCTTCCTGTGATTCAGAAAATAACTATTTCCTGTCACAACATTTAGTCCATACCTGCTGATGCTGCAGGTGTCAAGTGCCCTTCCTGAAATGTCTACAATCTCTCATCACCAGGGACATACTTGGCAAGATGATTCCAGACTCACCTCAGCTCACAACAAATCCAGTGTTACTACATGAGTGCCAACTCTTTTTTTGACTAGCACCAGTCTGGTATGAATTCAGACTAGGCTTCTGTGAGTTAGAATGCAGGAAAGAGGATGCTGTGATTTAAGCATGGAAAAGCAAGGAGATACAGATAGCCTGTAACAAGCAGTTCCCATCTCAGACACCCTTCATCTCATTTAGAAGTTGAAGATCCTGAAGATGGAACCACTTGGGGTAATAAAACTGGATAGAAAGCAGTATCTAAAACCAGGAAGAAGTTCATATTATCAGTGTCTCTATGCCAAATGAAAATTCAACATTCTAAGCTCAACAGGAAAACTATCTTGGAAAGGGGTAGGTAAGCAGCTTTTAATTATTGGAAGCAGTTGGCCTTCTGTTCATCAGACTAGGCTGTTAATTTATCCCAGTGCTCAGTGCTCCTGCAGACAAACACAAGAGTCAAAGGCTACAGATGTTCCTAGGCAACAACTTATAGGCAG